AGGTCACCAAACAATTTTTCAATAATAATATTATAATTTTAAAAAATTTTAATTTATTTATTTTTGTTTTTCCCGATTATTTTAAAAAGTACTGAGAATTTTCCCTTTTGACTTCCCAAAAGTATCAACAAGATTTAATTTGCTTCCAAAAACCTGCATCGAAATTGATGATCAGAGCAATGTTTTACTAAAAAAGTTGAAAAGTTGAAATTGTACAGTTATTTTTAAATACCTCACATAAACCTAAATTATTAGACTGAATAAAATACAAATCGTATTAATATAATATTGTATTATTTTCATTTTTCAACAAAACTGGTTTCTCACAATGAATGTGTATTACTTCTATTTTTGGTCTCACGGAATGATTGTAAATACTTTTTCGGGTTTTCTGTAGAAAATATATGTATTGTTCGTTATGATTTATGAGTATTATTTACTAGCAATAAATAATATCGGGCTACTGAATGTGTTGGACAGTGGACGCTAAGAAACGTCTGAATTATAGTGATTCTATTATTATACAACCACTTTTAAGAAAGTGGTTTAAGGTTATTTGAAGAACAAAAATGCAATGAATATCAACAGTAGTCGTATTAAACATTTATATTTAAATAATATAATTAGACTTTGAAATACAACTTACAAAACATAATATATAGCATATAGCAGAGTGTAGATACTAGTGATGCTCACAGTTTAATTAATAGACCACGAAAAATTATTTCATCATTTTCAATGAAAATAGAAATAGGTAACAGGTTATTTAGGTGGTGCAGATGTGTACCTATGTAATTGATTTAATTTATTGAAATATTTTATTTACATTTTATCTTTCAGAATATAGCGGGTCTCACCGAACATGTGCATTCTGGGGAGGGTGTATATTTTGTTTAATATAAAATAATAGTAGAAAACAAACAATAATATTACCAAGAACCATGAAGATATTTGGGTCTGCATTTAATAATATTTTATTTTAATACATAAATAGGTAATTGAACATTTATTTTGTGATCAGGTGTATGAAATGATCACCTATATAAATGGTTTACAACTATTTTATTTAAATAATTATTTTTATATATAATGTTTGTATATAATTTTAAATTTATAACCATTTCAATATTTTAGAGCTAACACTAAGTAATATATTTTCTGTACACCTTAAATTAAAACTGTTAAATATATATTTTTAACAATTTGCCAGTTACTTGGTACATTAAATTAGAGATTCTGAAATAGGTGGTATATTAAGTATAGTTAGTGAGAATTTTTATTCATAATTAGAAAACATATATTTTGTTGTTATTTAATATTCTCTGCAAAACCTGCAATGTTTAATTAAAACTGTTATTTGTTAACAACATTATTGATTTTTTTTTTCATACTTCATTAGTGTAATTAGAACAAAACAATTTTTAACTTTAAATAAAGTTACTTTTTATATATTTTTACAGTTTTAAATTTAATACTTTTATTGCCAACTACTAATCAGTAGCATAATATTATAGATAATTGTGCCTGCACAGTAATATTTTTTTTATGTTTATATTTGCATACATACAAATAAATAATGAATCATTTATATCGAAAAAATATTTTAGGAACCTATATAAATATCTTTCAAGTTATTAGTGTAAATACTTCGATGAGTTACGGTATTGTGACGATCATTCATTCCTGGTATTGAGCATACACTCACTAATGCCTACATCGGGCTACATAAAATTGTATCTTTCCACATTCTGACAATGAGACATATTTGAATACGATTTCGTACTTGTGTAATGTGTCAAAGTAAGGGTATATATTATTGGTGTTAAAAGGTTTTCAATAAGCCAATACGGGAATATTAAATATTTTGGACGTACAATTTTTGTTATAAAAAGTGTAATTGGACGATACAATGAAACTAAGGTACAACGTATACAACAATAAAAAAATATCGTTACAGTAATAAAATGGTATCTAATCATTTTACTTTAAGAGAACCACACACACGCATGTGTCCTCCCGTCTTAGAAACGTACAACATACCAAAAACTATTTTGCGTGAAATAGAATGACTTAAGCTGTAGTCCAAGCTGAGCAACCATATCTTCACACTATAAACAAGAGAATATTTACTGTGAAACATCGTTTTTATTTTTTCGATATCTCAAATACAAAAAAGTTATTCAAGTTTGAAGTAATGAATTTTTAAACAATAAAAACTTTACTTGTACGTATTTGTGATATCGAAAAATAGAAAAATATTAAACTGTACCTAAATGTTCTTTTGTTTAAATTGTGAAAATTGAGTTGCTTAGCTTGGACTACAGCTTGAGTGACTCTATTTCAAGCAAAAAAAAAATGTTGCTATGTTGGACGTTTGTAAGACGGAGACAACACAAGCGGGTGTGGCGTCCTCTTAATTAACGTAAAAGTTGAATAAATTAAATTGCATTATTATTTAATTAACGAGTCATAAATTATTTATGTTTTAATGTTACAATAAAAATATCAAAAGTAATAATAAAAAAAAAATTAATTAATTTACCTGAATTTAATTTTTATAATTAACTTAAATTGTAATTCATAGTAACTGTACATTTTATTTATTAATATTCATATCAAATAATAAATAATAATGAATGACGGTTTCAATAAAGTCGTCTCTTAGAAGTTAATAATACTATTATAAGTATAATAATTATAATACATTACAATAATTCAGTTTGCTTACACTGTCTTATCATAAACCTTTTTTTTTATTATTGTCATATTGACAATTTATTAACATTATACACTATAAGAATTTTGAGATAGACAGTACAATTTTATTTTACTTTGGGCAGCTTTTATAGATTTTAGATGAATGTAGCCGAAGACTTAAAATTCCAATACTTCTAATACTATAAAAATATATATAGGAGATGCATATTCAAAGCCTTGCTATAAAGTCAAGTGTGCTGATAAAAAAATAATGAATGTGATAAAACTACCAACATAAGGCACAAACCAGACAGTTTCTGTTATTAATATAAAATAATTTTTACACGGTTCAAATTTATTTCATAATCAATGGGGACACAAAGCCGTACCTATATAATACTGTATTTTAATTTTCAGTTGCAATTCATGATGTAATTCATATTAAATAACTACACAACATTTCAAAGGTATTGAAGTAAAAATACACTTTATGGAAATAATATATATTTTTTAGGTTTTCAATTACCGTGGTGTAAAATAGTTTCGTATTATTGTTAAATTATATTTCTACAAGCATATCAGAGTTTATCATCGATTTATTTAAACAATTTTCAATTTTAAGTTATCAAAGAGAAAATTAAAATTGTAAGGTGAGATATATTTGAAGTTTTTATGTATATTGTATATGTATATAATTAAAAATGAATATTATAATAAATGGCATGTTGATGTTTTAATGCCCAAAACTACAAATCTTACAAAAAGGAATCTGAAAAAACCATTTAAAAATTTCACCGAAGGTAATTACAATTTTGAACCTTCTTGAAATATAGAAGTTCGAATGTTCAAAATATACAAAATAAAAGAGGCAACTTTGTGGTGAAAATTTTCAAAAATGATTTTCATCTATATGACTATATTATTATTAAATACATTGATAATCGGTGAAAATTTTAAAACTCTAAGTTTAGGTAGGTATTCTATTAAGTATACCTATTAAAGTATTAACTTTTAAACGTTAGCAAAAATCTGAATGTATTTTGTTAAAATAAGTAGGATGTTTATCAAAAAATTCATTACCAACTATTTCAATATTACCCCAAAATAAATTGAACAGAAATAAAATGAACTTTATATCATAGAATTTCAGTGGGAATGGTGTAGAATACACTCGGCACTTCACAAATATATCCATATTTTAATAAGAAATTAACTGGTGTTGGATAATATTATTAATTTATAATTATTATGTATATGTACGCAGAACGCCATCAAGTATATGTTACATAGTAGACATCACAGTGATATACCATATTACTATATTAGTACCTAGTAATAAACTATATCATGTAATACTCACTCATTAATACCGCCTTACTTGAAAAAAACTAGTGAATAACATTCTTTACACTGTTTACCGTTCCATTTAAACCTTAAAATTAATTTCCACCACTACAGCCAGCTAAAGTTTTTATAAAGATTTTACGAATAGACAAAACAATTACTTTTATTCAAATATATTTAAAAATATTCTTAAAAACAGAAGCTGAAACTACTGAAATGTTAGAACATTTTTTTTAAATTTGGTATATATTCTATGGAATAACGAAATATTATTTACTTGTGGTTCAAAACAACAACAATACCTAAATAATACGTTTTCGTAATTTTAAAAATACTCATGCTCATGGTGATTGGTGGGGGGATTGTGTTTTTTACGTTCACACCGAAATATAAACGTACAAGTGTGCAACTGTACTATTTTAATGAGTGAAAATATTATCCACAAGATTAATGGTCCAAACAAGGTCGACACGGCGGAAACTATAAAGTATAAACTGTAAACACAATAGGACAAAATCCACGAATGACAGATTCATTGTCATAAACCACTAATTTGTAACTGAATATTCAATATTGTCAAAAGTATAACTTCAGTGAAATTTATATTATATTGGTCGTATTTCAGTTTTTATTTCTTTTTATAGGGCTGTTACAATGTTTTCTAGAAACGTATACTTAGTTCGAATAACGTCATTAAAAATAATTTCAATGGAGTTTTATTTTTTTGTATAAAGGTACCTCCGGTTCTATAGATATTATATACACATATTAAATTGTATTCGTATTTCGTTTAATAATTGCATAATTATTGTTACATTTATTCAATGTAACAGAAAAAAAGGTATTGAAATTTGAAAGTAATTTCTTATATTGACCAAAATAAAAATATTCTGTATGACTTTAATATGTCTATAATAATAATAATATTAATAATAATAGTAATAATAACAATATTGTACCTTTTTGTTGATGTAGGCACTAATGCTGCCCCTTCTGGCCTCGGACAGCCGGCGGTCGTCAAAAGACATCCAAAAAAACTAATTGGAAACCGTTTTAGACGAAAAATATATAAAATTAATACAAATTGAATGTAAATACGTTTTATAAACGCGCAAACCAAACAAATATGTTACTATATCAATATTATAGTACGTATACAGATAACAAACTATACGTATAAACTTATGTGTGTAGATTTAAATATTGGTGAAAAAATTAATTACATTTACAAACACCGTACTTATGATAATACGAAAATAGTTTAGCGAGGGGCGTGCGAATCGTACTGACGCAAGCGGACCGCGAGTGTTAGGAAAACATTTTTTTGGCACCGTCCCGGCGATGCGGACCAAAATAGACGTCACTCGGCCTTCTGAGCTTTTATACCGCTGCTGCTGCTGCTGCTGCTTCGGTTAGATACGATATATATATGTACGACTACTGCAGCAACTGCGACTCTATATGGTCTACCGTTTTCCCACCAGCGCACTAATCGTTGATTTCACTTACGATTATGACTGTCGCCACACTATGTATACTATGCGTGTGACCAAAGAAAAATTGTGTATTTTAATATTATTATTCTGTTGAAATGTGCATCGCATCGCTACGCGAAGGCTTATTAAATAAACGAGAGAAAAAAGCGGATGGCCGTATAATAATAAAAAAAATAATAATAATAATATTAAATTAACAATAATACAAGAACAAATATATTATTACTAATCGCAATTGGTATAGGTACTGCAATGCCGATTGGACATAAGAAACCTTTTTCAGTTACATTGTTCTAACTCATAACAACTGTGGGTTATTATATTCGTATTTTAACTTCAAGCTCGTGTACTAATGTACTATAGGTGCATATATTATAGTTAGTAAATAAAATATGTATTTTATGTTGTAATAAGAAAAGTGTCCACTGTAACGATTTTTAGTATACATGTTTAACAATGTTATACACTATAAATGATGAGTGGATTTAAATATTTAATGATAATTATTACCCTTTATAATAGCACCATAATATCATAAAACATTGTTATAGAGGTAACATACCGTTTAACATTATGTTATAGTTTATTACAACAGAAGATAATAAAATAGCAAGGAAAAAAAGTTTAGTATTATATTAATATAAAAGTACCTACATATTAAATTATTATTCACTCATTTTACGAAACTGTTTTTTTTTTTTGATACATGTGCATTTAATGGTAGTCAAAGTAGTAGTAAAACTATTATACGCAGTTGTACAATCGTCACGAATTTAATCAACCTTTGTAAATTGTAACAATAAAACAAAACCATAAAGCTTGGTAAATAGATAAAACTGTTTTTTTTTTTTTGAATAATCGTTTCAAAAAAATAAAACTTCCTACTATTTTTTAAATAATAGGTATCTAATTATTATATGTATTGAGCTGGTTTTTTATTTATAAATATTTAAAGCTTAAAGACTTACCATAATCTATTTGGATTATATATTATCTAAGATTAATCAGGTATACGTATTATACTAGTCAGTGACGCAACCAGGGTATGGTTTGAGGGTAATAAACTCCCTTCGACATTATTTTATAGTTGCTCCACTGATACTAGTAATGCATCAAACACAAATCTAATTTTAAATTACTGATTAACTTATTAGAGATAATATTGAATGTGTGTATATGTGTATCCAGAGTAACATTGTACTAAAACTTGAAATATTTAAAACAATTTTCTACATTTTATTGGTCACTGCTATGATATAAAGTAGGTAGTTTTTCAATAATTAATAATTAATATATTATCAAATATTGAACATATACGATTAAATTATATTTTATTAATGCCTAATGTACAAAAGTTAACCGTAAATAGCTCAGATATATAGAATAAATATGTATATATTCTATTAGTGGTAAATAGGAATACATTATCTACTTGGATATTTATTATGTATATTATATTTAAATAAATATAAAATTAAAACACTAGGCGAAAGCCTTAATTTAAGTTTTAATGAAATAAATAATAATAATAATAAAAAAATTAATAAAGATATGAAAATCATTGAACTTCAAATATTGAAGTACATCATATTTTAATCATTAAAAATTCAAGAAACACATGGGTTCTGGGGATAATGATAAGTGGCTCTACGAATATTAATATTTTTACAAGGAAATATAAATAATTTAAATGATACACTTAAATATTGGAACAGAACGTTTTATGAACTGGTTAGAATGGTTTTATTCAAATAATATATTGTTCACAAATGTATATTTTATACTGATGCTGTCAACTTTAATAAATAGGGATATTACTGTTTACATTTCAAATATTTGATTATACGGTTTGATAATGGCTGAATAATATACCTTGGAGCAAAATTTGATTAATTCGAATAGATTATCCTCGACTCATGGAATTCCAATTTAATATTTCGACGTGCAGTATGATATTGTTAGAAATAAGTAATACAAAATGTAAATTTTGCATAGTGTGCGGATTATACCTACTGTTGATATTATGCGATAATAATACAACATTTTGCGTTTGATATTATATTTTTTGATGTGAAACATGTAATGCGGCGGATGAGATCAGCTGTTTGCGTGGGGAGCGCTCGCAACGCACGAACCATCTAAAGCGCCTTTAAAATAAAGAATAATTTTTCTTAAAAAACCGAATATTTTGGTTTTGATTATGCTATGTTTATTACGTGCGTGAAGTTGGCTCTAACACCGTGACCAATTTTTTTGAAAGTTACGTTATCATTTTGCAAATTGGTTTTCAGAATTTGCAAATAAATTACCCACACGGTATGAAAAATATAAGATGGGGGGAAAAAATCACTCTACACCCCCTTTTGAGCTACGAATTGAAATATATAATATTGATATGTGACAACATATATGTGCATTAACCATTTATTATGTTTTTATTTTGAACAGTCAACAAACATGTTCTTATATGATTTCATGAACAACAACAATGATTGTGGTTCTTTAGTTATGATTTTTCCTAATGATTATATTACGTTCAAAATTTCCTCCCAAAAATATCCCATTAAAAAAATTCTTTCTGTTTTAATAACTTTTATAGGTAATTAATAGTTATGCCTATGATTTATTTTTATGACATCACATTTTTATATGTTATAAATAATTGCAAAGTAGCTTAATTTATTTATCCTTCATTAAATTTAAATAATGCAATTTATTAACCAGAAAATATATGTAATTGTTTCTATATCAGTCGTCTACCATAATTTATAGCTATTTATTATAATATTTGATACCTAGTTACTTCTGGTATGGATGTATACTATGTAAATATAATATATCCAATTAATTCATAACACTGTTAAAAATTACGATACTATAAGAAAAGTAGCTACCTAAGTCCTAAAAAATATTGTTGTTGTTCATTTACTCGTATTAATTTAAAAATTAAATTTTTACAAATATAAAAAATACACATTGCAAGTTTAGGATTGTTTATATTTTTGTCTATAACAGTAGATATTATGAGCCTAATTGGTGCCTTTAATTTTTTATCAAATTACCTATTTCTATTATATTTCTAGTATATAATTACTGGTAGCCGATACTCAACTAAAAAATAAATGTATGTTCTTCCATTTTAGATTAAAGTTAGTTGGGTAATTGTGGTATTTGTGGATTCGAATGATTACAGCGCAGTAACTACAAAGTGACTAGTTCAAACTGACACAAATAATCTAAAAAAATAGTAGTGTACGGATTTGTAAATGGCCACTTGGTTGAGTAACCACTACCTACTGACATTTATGATGCCCTAGATCCAGAACCAACATGGTTTGAGTATGGTATTAAAATAGTTTGTATGGCAATAGAACACGGTATGTAAAATAAAATCAATTTAAAAGTTGACAAAGTTTAATTTTATCATTATTTTAAGTATGTATCCATTATGCAGTACGGTTATGGTATCATAATAAATAACCTGTATGTTATAATTTTAAAAATATAAACACTTAATTTAAAAATTAAATTTACTTAAAAATTATTTTATTTTGTTGTCATTTTTTCTAATTTAAGATTTACCAACAACTTGGATAATTTAAAAAAGGTGGAACACACGAGTTGAAAATGAATCGGAAAATGAAGAGGTTCAATTGATGACCGAATGTAAACGTACAACACTTGGTGTATCAGACAGCAGCAGTGATGAAGATAATTAATGACTACAAATAAAAATGGGAAGGTGGGCATGAGCGCCGGCTGGCAAATGAATTTTAAGAAACAATATCAAAAAAATATTAAAAAAATATGATAGAATTTAAAATTAAATATAAAAATGGGAAGGGGGATGGGCGCCCCCAGGCAAATGAATTTTAAGAATCAAATAAAAAATATTTATGAAAAAATGTACATTAACAACAAATATTAAATACTGCAGTCTACAATATCATTATTCCTAAATTCATGGCATTCTTTTCAATTATTAGATTAAGAAACAAAAGAATTTTATAAGGTACTAACTTGCTATCGAAATTTAAAAAAATTTTATAAAAATTTGAACTAGAGTTAAATTAGAGAAAAAAAGTTCGAAGGGGGTCATGGGTGCCCGCAGGCTACAGAATTTAAGAATCAAAACTAAAAAAAATTAGAAATAAATTAGAAAGAATTTTAATTTAAAAATAAAAATGGGAAGAGGGGTGTGGGCGCCCGCGGGCAAATGAATTTTAAGAAACAATATAAAAAATTTTTAAAAAAATATGATAGAATTTTAATTTAAAAATAAAAATGGGAAGGAGGGCGTAGGCGCCCGCGGGCTAAAGATTATTATGAATGAAAATAAAAAAAAATTATAAAAAAATGTTCATAACAAATATTAAAACTGCAGTCTATAATATCTGTATTCCTAAACCCATTGCTATATTTTCAATAATTAGATCACGAATCAATGACTTTACATAAGGTACTAACTTGTTAGAAAAATTTTAAAATTGTTTTTAAAAAATTTACCTTTAGTTAAATTATAGAAAAAAAATTGGAAGGGGGTCGTGGGCGCCCGCGGGCAAATGATTTTTAAGAATCAAAATAAAAAAAATGTTA